AACCAGCCTTCTCGTGAATGGGTTTAGGGTTTAGATTTTTCGGGTCTACAGGGCTGGAGGGGCGGGCTGGAGGGGGCTGGAGGGGTTGGAGGGGCTGGAGGGGGTGGAGGGTGGTTTAGGGTTTAGGGATTAGGGTTTAGGGTTTAGGGTTTAGAAGCCAATCACTGCTCCCAACACGTGAGGCCTGACACCATCTTGCCCGAATCAGAACCCAAATCTACCTGTCAGTCGGGTATCTACTGCAGCATCTATAGTTAGGCATGACGAAGTTGAAAGAACCTGCAAGAAGAAGTGTGGTACTTAGCATAATGGCACATCCTTTATGTAGAAGGTTTCTCAAAAGGAACCCTGAACCCTGAACCCTGACCCGAAACCCTAAACCCGAAACCCGACACCCTACACCCTACACCCTACACCCTAATTACACCCTACACCCTAAACCCTAAACCCTAAACCCTACACCCTACACCCTACACCCTACACCCTACACCCTACACCCTACACCCTACACCCTAAACCCTAAACCCTAAAACCCTAAACCCTAAACACTAAACCCTAAACCCTAAACCCTAAACCCTAACTTACGTAGCGCAAGCCACATGGCTGTCGCGGGTGCCTGCGGCTTTGTGGCGACGGGGCGCTGTGGCGGCGGTCGCACCTTCCGCTGCTCCACGAGGCCCGGTATCTTACCGGCTCTTAATATCCTACCCCTAATTCCCTATTAAATGTGAGAACGAGGAGGCATTAAGTTCAGAAGCTGAGCGAGGTTTGGGGGTCTTGGGGTCTAGGGTGTGGGGGTTTGGAGTGCAAGTTGAGGGTGAAATGAAATTATGATGAACCCATGGTCCCATGGGTTCACAAGACTTTCATGCGGGGCGTTCAACACACCTGAGATGTATCTTTTTCATGATGAGATGGGGGATGAGATGAGACTCACAACCCCCCCACCCCCTTCAATAAAACAAAGAGCAAATGTACCTGTGGCCCTCAACCTTGAACCCTCAAGTCTGAACCCTAAGCCTCAGACGCATAAACCACTCCTCTCTAAACCCCACGCTGAGGTCCGCCCTGTGCATCTTCGTCCCACGCCCCCGAAGATGCGTGTGGCCTTGGTTCTCAAAGGACATTCCGACTGTGGGGGTTTCCAACATAAAGTAGCAGGCTTTGGTTTAGAGTCTCCCTTGTTTAGGATTGCAAATGTTGGGGGGTGGGGGGGTGATTGGGTTCTAGCCTATTGTGGCAGAATACCGTACATGTTCAGGGGGACAGTGGGGAGCCGGGTTTGTGAAGGAATTAGGGTCTGTCCACCTGCCCAATGGCAGATCTCAAAGCAGTGCTCATGGGTTTCAGGTCAGGTTGGCACTGCTCCAAGAAAAAGTTTGAGAACATGTATGTCAGCGTCAAGGCACTTTCCCGCAGTATGAGGAACAAAGAAGCATTAGGAGTCGAAAAGACTTGCTTGTTATCAGCACTCAGGAAATATGGGGTTCAACTGCATGTCGCTAGAAGCATAAACGCCGTGTACAGCGTCAAATCTGATCTAACGATCTCCCTTGCCTTCGGTCTCGAAGGCCATTCTTGCCAACAACGGCCCAGAAACCCTAAACCATAAACCCTAAACCCTGAACCCTGAACCCTGAACCCTGAAAGTCCTGCTGTCGATGTGCCCCATCTCAGGTGGGGTGCTGCCCTTCGGCTGCTGCGCCGGCTCCTGTCAGCTGGCTCCCTGCGTGCTAGCAGCCTGCAGGAGGCCTCAAACAATTTTAGGGTTTAGGGTTTAGGGTTTAGGGTTAGGGTTTAGGGTTTAGGGTTTAGGGTTGAGGGTTGAGGGTTTAGGGTTGAGGGTTGAGGGTTGAGGGTTTAGGGTTTAGGGTTGCCCGAAGTTCCTCGACCTGAGATGCCGTGCTGGTAGCTGGTAGCAAGCGGGGAAGTCTTTGATGCCGCGCTGGAGGTCGAGCAATTCCTCGCTGACACTTCTCGGATGCTGAAGCAACAGCAATCCGAGGCCACCAGAGCTTCTGAGACCCCTAAACCCTAAACCCTAAACCCTACGCCCTAAACCCTAAACCCTAAACCCTAAACCCTAAACCCTAAACCCTAAACCTTTGTTGGTGTTCAGGATGTAGCAGGAGAGTGGGAGAAGGGGGACTGGCACAGGCACTCTGAAGATGCAGAGGAGGAGAACTCTTCAACTTGTACTGGTTTCTTTCTAACAGTACAGAAGGACCCAAAATCAAGTGTCCATGGGCCCATACTTTGAACCCCAGGTAGTCGAATAACGTGCATGTCGATGTGCGCGCACTGCGAAGTAAGTCCACCAAGGCGTTCCTTGCAGCGTTCGGTGGCGGGAACATTGGCTTACAAGCGTCCATCAGGGCGGGTTTAGGGTTTAGGGCGGGCTGACTGCGTGAAGCTGGAGCCAGTGAGATTTTCCTAGGCGTTAGGGCTGTCAGCTTGGCTGGGGCAGGCCTCGGTGTGCCAGCAAGAGATCCTCGGATGTTTGTGGCGCCTTCCTCAGCCTCGTTCATGGACATCACGCTTCGATGACAGTCCTTCTCGGCCTCATTTGTGCTTGCCGCAGGTGCTTTGTTAGGTGTAGCTATTTGCGTTGCATGATGGCTGTCTATGGTTTGACCCAGGTATGTGCGTGGAATCTTCCTGCAAGACATGGTGAGATACGAGGCACTGCTCGGAAAGCCCTAAAAAAGAAGCAATAGGCTGGCGCCTGGGTCGGCATCACGATCGCCGAAACTGCGAGCTATGCTGGCACATTGCAATGAATCCAAGCAGGAGCCCTTCAACTACCGCAAACAGTTCAAACCAAGTGCAGCCACCCAAGAAAACTAGGAACAAAAAATGACTTTGGACCATTTACCCCTGAACGCCTCTACATCTCATATGTTTCTATTGCCATCCCTTCGAAACCTTCAGCACTCCAAGCCCTCAGCCCCAAACCTATAAGAATGAACAACTACCTCGGGCTTCAGGGTTTAGGCTGACATCCCAAACCTTAACTCGCCCAGTGCCCTACATCAGGATGCGGGTGCCTCGTTTGCCGAGGCGGGTCGATTGCTGGAGGCCAGGCAAGTCCATCCATGCCTAGCGGGTCACAGGGCGTCCGCCCTCGGGGGGGGGGGGGGGGGGGGGGTTCTGGTCAGCGTGAAAAAGGGGCTTGGGGCTTTGGGCTTTCGGTTTGAGCAGGGGTTGTTGGAGGGGGGCTGCGGGGGGTTTGCAGGAGACCTGGGATGGTCTGAGTTTCACAAGGCCCGGAAGTGCAGGGCTGAAGTTATCCAAAAGTGTCGGCGTAGTTGCGTCCCTAGGGATCAGAGTTCAAGGGTGTAAGGAGTGTAAATAGGTGCACAAGGGGCAGGTAAGGCCTGTTGGGGGGGGCCCCTGATCCTCTTTTGGATCCTGAACTTGTTGGGTTCTCATTTTTTCTTGCTTGTGCTTTCCTTTGTATATTTTCTGTGTCTTGCTTTCTGCAATTTTCTGCATGTATGTATTTCGTTCGTTCTATCTTTCTTCCTCTCCTCTCCTCTCCACTCCACTCCACTCTCTCCTCTCTCCTCTCTCCTCTCTCCTCTCTCCTCTCTCCTCTCTCCTCTCTCCTCTCTCCTCTCTCCTCTCTCCTCTCTCGTCTCTCTCCTCTCTCCTCTCTCTTCTCTCTCCTCTCTCTTCTCTCTTCTCTCTTCTCTCTTCTCTCTTCTCTCTTCTCTCTTCTCTCTTCTCTCTTCCCTCTTCCCTCTTCCCTCTTCCCTCTTCCCTCTTCTCCTCTTCTCTCTCCTCTCTTCTCTCCTCTCCCTCTCCTCTTCCTCTCTCATCTCTCTTCTCTCTCCTCTCTCTCCTCTCCTCTCTCCCTCTTCTCTCTCTCCTCTCTCCTCTCTCTCTCCTCTCTCTCTCTCTCTCTCCTCTCTCTCTCTCCTCTCTCTCTCTTCTTCTCTCTTCTCTCTCTCTCCTCTTCTCTCTTCTCCTCTCTCTCTCTCCTCTCTCCTCTCTCTCTCTCTCTCTCTCTTCTCTCTCTCTCTCCTATCTCATCTCTCTCTCCATCTCTCCTCTCTCCTCTCTCCTCTCTCCTCTCTCTCTCTCTCTCTCTCTCTCTCTCTCTCTCTCTCTCTCTCCCTATGTCGGTTCCGAAGCCTCCAGCCCAGATATACCCCTTCATGCCAAGACTTTAAAGACACACAGTCCGTCCTCTGAAGCCTGCTGAGGAGGTGCTGAAGGCTTCCTCCCATGGAACACTGGCCGAGGCTCTCAGCCGCATGGCAAGTGGCATGAGCGTTGGGAGGATTCAAGGGCGACGGCTGAGGGCTGGGCCTGCCAAAAAAAGAGATCGCGGGTCTTGAAGCTGTTGCGCGGATTCGTTGCTTGTCAGTGCAGCTGTTGGCCGTCGTTGAGACCGCCGAAGGAAAAACCCACCTACGAAAGTCTGGAGAAACGAGGGGGTTGTCGGAAGCCAAGGGGCCCCATAACGGGGGCCCTTTAGAAAGGAATCCCCCCAACATGCCAGGCATCACGGCGCTTCTTTATGGTCTGCCTGACCTACCAGCGACGCCTAGCAGAGGCCCTGCGCCTTGGCGAGGCGCGGAAAGGAGACCCAAAAAACGTGAGAGCGGAACATTCTGAACCCCGCATGCAAAAAGGAGCGTACCTTTCTGGCCACCTTAGCGCTACGCAGGTGGGGATTGCGGTAACTTGGGGTCGCGATGATGCGGAGCAGTCTTTATTTCCGTTCGCGTCTGATTTGCAGCACTCTTTACCCCCTGCCCCCCCTTGCCGGTCATGAGCCTTCTGGACCCCAAACCGCTGGGGC